ATGATGGCTCCTTAAATGGTAGTGGTGTTTTGCCCTGGTGGCATTTAGATTCCTTTTGATTACATCTTGCCTTTTGTTACTAGGAAGCTCTTTTTGAGCAGGATTATTTGATATACATCTTATAGTTGAACAGATTTCATTATCTACAGTACCGTTTTGACTGATCAGCTCCTGTTTTGCTTCAGTGGGTATAGAAAAAAACAACATTTTAACATTTGTTTCCTGCAAAACGTATTGGAAAATTCATTTTTAATCTTGAAAATGTTGTGGGTCTTCTTCTCCTTAGTTTAGAGACAACTGTACATAGACTTATGGGTTAGCTATTTATGTAGATTTAATTTTGTTGTAGTTTAGCAGCTATCATTTGGATATTTAGATTTGATGCTCTGTAAAGTTGCCTACGTGTTGACAAATGGAATCCCCCCCAAAACAACAGTGTAATTTGCACCCTGACTACTAACTACTATAGGGAAAATACAAACCAGATGCAGCAGTCAGGTCTCTCGCAGCTCACCCTGGTGCCATATGCACATACCCATTCCCTTCTCTATACACAGTCTTCTTCAGTCTGTCTCTGCCTTTCCCTTTGACTCCTTTCACAAACACAACACATACATGAGCACATCAGCTCTGTGGTCTTGTGAACTGTGTGTACCCTGTCTAGGCTGGCCAGGGTAATCCTGGCCTCCACTAAAGTAGCCGTGTGAGAGGACAGATTGTCAGTTGATCATGGCCAGGCGAGAGCCTTATCCCTTATTGGATCGGCCATGGAGGAGGCTTAGGAATTATCTGAGGCCTCGCTTAATGTGGAGACAGATCACCGCCAGAGAACCATGGAGCCTGAGACATGCTGGGCCTGAGGGGAGAGAAAGACATGTCGTGTGCATTTGAATCAGTGTGTGTGTGTGTGTGTGTGTGTGTGTGTGAACAAAACCAACAGAGAGGTTGTGTTTGTGTGTATCAGTATGTAACAATGATAAAGGCACATAAGTGTATGTACGTGCACAAAGCTAAATCATGGCCCACTTAACCCCATCTTGACACCTCTCTCTCTCATGCGTCTACTGTGCTTAGTCTGTTTTTTTGCCATCCTTCCCTGTCCTCCTCACCTCCCTCCCTCCTATTACTCCTCTCATTCTCCTCCCTCCTCTTTCTTCTTGCTCCTACTCTACCTGCCTCTTCCTCTGCCTCGTCACCTCTGCCCCGTTTCCTTTCTCCTCTTGCTGTCCAATCGTTCTTCACCCATCTCTTTTGATTTTGTTTTCACCTTTGTCTAATGTTTGTCCTCCATTCTGTTTAAATTTCCCTCCTTGACTCGTCATCCTCTTTCTTTCTACACCTTCTTTGCTGCTCTTCTGCCCTCTACCCATACTCTTTTGTGCTCTATCTTCTTTTACAGTGTTGTTTGCATCTCTCTCCACTCTGGCCATCTTCTGCATTCCTTCTGACTCTCTTGCATCGCCTCTGTTTCTTCTTTTACTCATCCCATCTTATACATTACACTGCAGCGG